ATCTTGAATTGTCGAACCCGTAACCTCGATCATCCGATGCAATGCAATCGTCATGCAATGGCACGACTGTAAAATTACAAAACAGTATGAGTTGATAATGTTTAATAATACTTTCTTCTCCTATTTTAATATATAATATATATAATATATATATATAATATATATATATAATATATATATATAAATATATGTGTATATATATATATATTTGTTGAAAGGTTTGCAGTGCAAAACGATAAACACCGTTCAGGTGAATAAATAATTCATTTAATATATAATTTATTTAATAAATTGAACACTGTGAAACGCTCTGCCACACAAGCCACATGCTACTTATTTTACTGCAATACTTAATTCGAATCCAAAAGAAAGCGTAATAAACGCGTCAACTTCGTCGCCCGACTCTCGACGCCACAATATTTTATGCATTTATAGAAAATTTTAATCTCCGAGAAACTAAAAAATACAAACAATATGCAAGAATATAAAAAAGATCGAAAGTAAAGATTATGTTACGATATTTGCAGAGTAAAATATCAGGTTGTCCGAAAAGTTTCTTTCGTGAGTTGCATTCAATTATTTTCTGTGGCAGTGTTTATAGAAATAGACAATCCAATTTCTTAGACATTGATGCTGTAACAGTAATAAAGCGAAATGAATCGTACACAATTCAGTAATGTAACAGAAAACATCAAATATTGTGTATACATTAATTATTAATAAAACGAAAGAAACTTTCGGGACAACCTAATAAATTCCTATTTAGGTTCAAGTTTCGTAGGCAATTTTTGTAGGTTCGCGAAGATTTTATTTTGCCTAAAGATCCACAGTCTAGTGATAACGAAATAATTAAGTGTAAATAAATGAGAGGAAAGACGAAAACTTTTTTTTTTTTTTTTTTTTTTGTTCACGATTTACTCCAAAATTGCACGTTCCATTTATTTTCGATCATTTTGATACATTCAGACCTGTTCTAACACGATCCGATACTTGACCCGACAACGAAGAAGACACGTTTCTCGCAGCAACCGCTGCTGTACGTGTAGTAATTACAGCGCGTACAGGCCACGAAAATTTGCGACTTCCTGCGATGTTACCGCTTCCATAAATTCACCGCCACTCTAGCTTATCGCGCTACTGACAACGATGTTCCTGCAAACGGTTGTTCTAGTCAAACGAAAACGACATCGACATTGCTTCGCCCGCGCCGGTTCTGTTATTACGCGTTTGGTCGTTCCTCGTCGGCCGAACATCTCTTATCTTCGGGTGCTGACTTTATGGACACTGAACCAGCATTTACTTTCAAATAAACGCTCCTTTTTACTGGCAAAGGATCCAGAATCTTTAGTTCGAGATGCCTGTTGCAAGAGCCCGAAACGATGCACGGTCTGCTAGGGAATAGCACGGTCGGCGTAACTTTTCAAGTAGGCCTGTCGCGTTGGACAAATGCTCTCGATTTTTACTGCAAGTGATGCTTCATGACTAGACTGCGGATCTGGAAAAAGCATTTTTCCAGATTTGAAGATATGCAAACGTGTAGCTCATCGAGAACTGATAAACTTTGATCTAAAACATTATCTAATTGGACTATCAGAAATACTTAAGAAATGGTGGCATAACTTAATAGGTAGATCCTGTATATTTAATGAGTGTATTCTCTTATTCCCTATATTAGTGTATTCACTTATACTCGTGTATATATTGTATGTATAGAAGGACGTGTATATACATATACAGAGTGTCTCTAATTTAAGTGTCAAAACTTTGGGAGCATGTAGGGTACCGATCAATTTTGGAGAAAATCGTGAAAAGAAACAAAAGAGTTTTCGTCTTTCCTCTTATTTATTTACACTTGATTATTTCGTTATCGCTAGACCGCGGATCTTTAGGCAAAATAAAATCTTCGCGAACCTACAAAAATTGCCTACAAAAATTGAACCTAAATAGGAATTTATCTTACTCTGCAAACATTGTAACATGAACTTTACTTTCAATGTTTTTTTATATTCTTGCATATTGTTTGCATTTTTTAGTTTCTCGCAGAATTAAAATTTTCTATGAATCCATAATGATCCGCAGTCTATTAATGACATATTAGGTAGTGGTATCCTGTTTTGGGAATATATATACCGAAATATTTATTTCCTAGATAAGTGATATTAGTTGTAATCGCTCCTAAAATATAATTTATCAGAGGTCCGATGCGCCTGGGAAAATATTTGGAGCTCCGTGCTCTATAATTTAAAAACATTTACTTTTGAATACAATCGTTTTGAAAACATTTACTATGAATAGTTATTTATATAATAAATATAATTTATATAAAATATAATTTATCAAATGAGTAGAAAAGAAAAATAATATTTGAACGCATATAATAATACAATGAATTTGTATAGAAATATAAGTAAAAAGTTCATGGGAATTCAATAGGAATTCAGATAAAGAATACATACGCGATATTAAAATCTGAATTTGAACTTGCACGCCAAGGGCCAAGCTAATATTTATATTCTTTAGAAGTCCTCCAACTAGTTGCATTTCACAATTGTACACAATGGCATTGTCGTGGACATCGGAACCATTAGGAGGAAATTCGTGAAACGTTAGGAAGTGGACTCGAGTCCCTGTCTTAGATATCCTTGGCTCGGTTCCGTTACCTTGAAGTGTTCCTTAATTGAAAAGACGCGTTTCTCCTTCTCGCCGCGATCAGCATCTCGCCATTTAATTGCACAGGGCTCGAGACTTGTCTGAACAATCCCTACAGCCGAGCATCGAACGCGCGTGAATTATTCGCACTGTCGCGCGGTGTGTGTCCCTTAATGGACAAAAAATCAAAAATTCCGAGTATAGAATGTAACAATGTTTATTTTCTCGAGTACTGGTAAAAGAATATATCGTAATTTCAAATATTATCAATAACTTAATACTTAATACATGCGTTTTATTCAATTTATTCGTTGCCGGAATATTTGTTTATTTAATTTCATTTTTATGAGTTGATTTTTATATTGTACCTTCATGATAAATGCATCATTTAAATGCAATAATAATAATTTCTCTGAATTTTCTATATAAGTTAACTAACTTTAAATGGATTTCAAAAAAAGGAAGTACCAAAACGTACCTCCGTCCGTGGTCTTTTGTACACTAATTCTGGATTTTTGTAAAAACTTGAGAAGAATATGAATTAGAAAAATGTTCCAAAAACTTTGTAAAGTTTTATAAGAAAGATGTGGATGAAAAGTTAATTCAGGAAATTTGATTTGCTACCAATCAATTGGGATTTGATTTTGAATGAAAGGGATGTAAATAACGCACAAAACGTGATTGCGATACATATCAAATAATAATTATAACGAGTTATTTAACCGTGTTAAAACTTTTCTTTACGTTGCCAATAACTGTACCAAGTGCTGGGCGCTCTTTCAGCAAGTTACAATTAACGAAGAATTCAAAGAACGTTTAAATGCACTTGCTGTATCAAGCATCGGAAAAGAAATTGCAAAAACTTGTAATTTGTCTGAAACAATTAATATGTTAGCAAAAACAAAATCGCACATTAAATAAGCGTGCATTAGTAATAGTTATGTTCGTGTTTGTACTTTTTTTTTTATTTTAGAAAAGATTTAGAGCCCCAAATGGTTTCTTGCACCCAGCCACCTTTATAGAGAATGCCGGCCCTGGATACCATAAATGATACACGTAGTAGGGAACGTGTTGAATTAATTTGATTAAATTAAATAATTACTTGTTCAACCAGTCAACTAATAAAAAATGTGTTATCGGCCATGTTTTAACATTACAATCGCATATCCACTGACGGATTGATCCCAATTGATTCAGATTTCTCTCGCACGCAAGAGAAACGCGAAAGAAACGCAAGTAGAAATAGAATGGACCTTAAGCTAAGAGTCGAACAATGAATCCCTTTGCCCTCGGTATTTCGACCGGCCCCCCTTTCGTGTTTTGTTGCTTGCTCGGCTTCCCAGCTTCTGCAGGTCAGGTCCTTCCGGTCCTCGCCCTCGTCGAGACTACACCTGGACGAATTCCAGGGTTCCTCCAGAGTCAACCTTCGAGACTTATCTTTCCTCCGAACAAAGCGAAAGTCTTCGCCTCTCGCCGTTCGCATTGTTCATCCTTCAGGTCGTACGTCGCGACGGAGTATACTTGCAGCGTGTCTTGCTGTTCGATTTTGGGAACTCTAAACTAGCGGGTCTAGACCAGTGGCGGATTAACCTTCGACGGGGCCCCGATCAGGGCCGTCTCGATACCATTATGGCCCTCGAGGAAATCAGTGCACTAGGACCAGCGATGGCCAAAAAATCCTAGGCTTCCATTAAATCTGAAGTTTGCCGATATGTTTGTCTCGTTTCCTTCTTTGGAAAATGTTCAAAAGAAGGAAACGAGACAAACGCATCGGCAAACTTCAGATCGATTCGAAGCCTAGGGTTTTGCCCATCACTGACTAGGACCCTTAGGCTGTCGAATATTTTCTGCTAAATTCAACAGAAATCGCGTGTTCTAACCGGTCCACCAATATTTCTCTATTAATTTAACATACATCATGCTCGTGTAAATCGATAACGCAAGCTGTACGTTGAATAGAATCGTTTAATATGAATAGTTGGTAAATTTAACAAGCTTGTAGCGTTAAACTTAACTTAAAAAAATGAATTAATTCTAAATCCTTTTTAGTGTTATATTAACACGTAACCATCCTTTAAATATTAACTACGTACAGTATCTTACCATTATAGAACTTATTATTTTCTTGATAACATACAACAGATATGATCTATCGCGTAAACATCCGCAGTCTGTTAATAACCAATCTCCAAAGGGAAACTTTATTTATCCCTTTTCAACTTTACTAGTCGAGCGAGCCCCAATAGAAATGTACCGAAATCATGAAATCCTGAAAACTTTAACAATCATGTACAGAATACTATTTATAAATAATAGCTCGGCCTCTCTAATGAAAGAAATGATTTTTGCAGATGGAAACCGAGGTGCGGACACTAAAGCAAGAGCTGGTTCGCACCCAGGAGGCCCTGAAGACAGCCACGAGGCGATGCCGCGACCTGGTGAAGGAGTTGGACAACCGCACCACGGGTCACGAGTCCGAGAGGACGCTCCGGGATCAGCAACTCTCGCGGATCCTTCGCGCCCTGTTGGTCTTGGAGGCGCGGCTCAAGCAGGAGCAAAAGTCGATCAGGCAACTGCTATGCGAGAAGGACAACGTCATCAGGAACCAGCAGCTGGAAATCGCCAGGCTTAGACGTTACACCAAAAACTACATCAAATGCAAGCGCGAGCAGACGCTTATATCAGCCTCGATGAAGATAGAAACGACGAGCAACATCGAGGAGTGCGATCTGCAAGCGTCCAGCATCGAAGTAAGTCTTCATATTGTTGAAGAAAGTCGGAAACGATGTCACGAAAGTGCTCCTACGTAGAAAACGCGTGGAAGTCTTCACCTTCGCGATCCAGATTACCTGATTTAGATGTACAATTTTCAATTTTACATGTATCAGAATACAGCTAATTATTCATTGAAATAATAATAGATCGAGTCATGAATGTTCGTAGATGTCTCCTTTCGAAGCAGAGCTTTCGGGTTTACAGAAATTTGTTCTAAAAATGGGCTGGATTTGATTCTATAGAAGAATGCCTCGAGCGCAAAAGGTTAACGCAATATCAGAGATTCTTATTCAACTAAAATTGATTGTACAAGATCAGCGTATCATTTGAGACCTGGCGTCCGTGAAATGTTGTCCAAAAAAACGCTGCCTACGCCCGAAAGTCCCAGTTAATATCACCATGAAAATCCAACCCAAGAAAGCCTCAAATTAACTCGGAATCTCTTGGCCAAAATTAACCGTTTCCTGACAGACGTGCGTTTTGTGATTTCAGGTGGACTCCAGGCAGGATAGCGGTATCAGCAAGGACATTCGGAACTTAAAATGCGAGATAATCACGAAGCTGAGCCCGTCCGTAGTGCTGGAAGACTTGGACAGAGGCGTTAAGAAGACTCACAGCTTCGCTGGCAGCGATATCTCAAAAACGAGTTTAACGAGTAGCGAGAACACGGACGTGTCTATTATCACGACCACCACGGAGGGCAGCCCTTCGTTGCTCAGTACGGAGGGTTTCTGTGAAGGCGAGAGCACGGACGTGTCGCCTGGCTCGACGCTGAACAAATCCAGCAGGTATACACCGACGATGGTTACCGACAGCGAGAACGAGACGACGATGATCTACGACGACAACGACGACGAAATTACGATCACGGAGAGCTGTACCAAGTTGGCCAAAAAGAGGATAGGAGTCGGTAGGTCGAAGACGCAGAAGGCTTGCAAAACCAAGGAGACGATCGAAGCCATGAGCATCGCGAGGACGGAGAGCAAGGACGACGGGATGGACTGTAATTTCGCCTCGGAGGACGAGGAAAAGGAGCAAGAACCTATTTACGTTAACGCTTGCAACGAGACCATTTCTAGGAACACGGAGCACGCGGGAAACACCGTACCGGAAACGTCGAAAACGAATGAAGATTATAGTAACAATAATAGTACCAACGATAACGGCAGTAACAACAATAACGACAGCACTGTGTAAGTATTGGAGTCTTTAACCATGAGCGTACGTATTATGGCAGTGGTGGACAAACTTTTCGATGTTCATACAGGATGAGACCGAGTAACATGTACAACTGGGTATGAAGTGATTTCTTATGAGGAAATACGAAGATGATAAAATTTTCTTTTTTTTTTTCTTCTAATTTTTTTTTATAAGAAATTACCTTGTACCCGCGTTGTACATGCTATTTAACCACATCCTATGTGTCTCTTTGTAGGAAAAAAATATTTCTGTCCTTGAGAATTAGAAATAAGTTCAGAGCATAGTAAATTATCCAACGAAGCAAAGAAAATAATAGGAAATAAATTTAAAAGGATACCTCATAAAGTACACTAATTATATAATTTACTTTCTAAACTATTAAATCCTTTAAAAAGTGTCGGTTTCGGTGTTTCGACGGTATTGCCTTGTCACCAGTTTGAAAATGCATTGACACTGAACGAGTTTCTCGATTGTCGTCTACTCAAGCTGTACATATATGTTGTTCATGTTATGGATCATTAACCACCGTCTGTAGTTTCTAGATCCAGACGACGTTCGAGTGGTCGTTAAGTGTCTCTTTTGATGTTGTTGGAACGTTCCAACAGCTACCGTGCGATAAACACGTGTAGAACAGGTCGATTAAATCCAGAACTGGAACACAGTAGGAAACTTTGGAAAGTGGTAATGTAGGTATAGTAGTGCAAGACAAATGGAGATCTAGAAAAAGCGAATAAAATGTTGATAGTTTTTCTTTGTTTGTGCTATGTGTATGTGACACATCAACTCGGTATAACCAAGACATCAAACGAACAAAAGAACGTGAAAACACTTTTATCGTGTCTTATGATAGACTTTAGTTCAGACGCCTTAAACTGAAACTATCTAATATCTAATATTTTTACAGATCTCCAAAAATGGAAATGGAGGAGGAACAGACCGTGGAAGAGACCAGTGGGAACTGGTACAGTGACCCAGACGAGGATAGGATCAACGACGACGTTTTCAGGCACAGCACGTATCGACCAAACAGTAACCACAACTCCGTTTTAGAATGTGTGAACCAGATCCTTCTGAGAGACATGGAGGAGGAGGAAAACATTATGTCGGTACCTAGGAGGTTTAAACACCGAGGAAGAATCGTTCGGTTTCAACCAGCAAGGTTATCCGACATCGAGTCGGTGGGTTCTGAAATGGAAAGGAAGAACTCTGAAGAAGCCATTACAGAAAAGGAAGTATCTAGCAATGACTTCAACGATGTCCCTGCCAGCAGCTTCGAGCCCACTGCTACAGAGGACGAGTTCGGAATGAGTCTCGCTCAAACAGTTCCCTTGACTATTGCAAATAAAATCAGCAATCACGAGTCAAGCCTCGAGGAATCAGAGGAGTCGAAAGCCATTCCTATTGTTATTATAGAGCCAAAGGTCGAAGTAAAGGAAACCAGACACGCGACATTCCCCTCGCCGCAGACTTCACAGAAGACAAAGACCTCAATCAATGCAACAAATCCTCCTTTGAAGCTAGAAAGAATCGAAGAGAAAACCTGTCTGCAAATGTCTACGAAGGGATTGACCATAGCCAAGAACCTCGACTACGAGGACATAGAATCACTTCCTGAGATAATATCACCACCTCCCAAAACGCCTCCAGCGTTACCGCCTAAGCCGCAATTCAAAAATAACACGTTGATCTTGAAGAAGATCCCTAGTCCCTCGTTCCTGATCGACGAAACGCGCAAGAAGCAGCCCTTGCTCGAGTCCAGTTCCTCCGAGCACGGCAAGAAGATTTTCGGCTTTATATCCTCCCCGTTGAAGTCTGCAGGCATCAATGTGACGTCGGCTAGAAGCCTGAACTTCGAAGAAGCCATTAACAAAGTCACGGGAATCAATGAAGAGGGGAACTTCTGGAGGAACAGGTTCAACAATGTTCGTTCCTCCTTCCGAACGCGACAAAATCACGATACCGGTGGTGAACAAACGAAGAAGATACCCAGGGTCACGAACATCGTTCGTCACTTCGAGGAGTTCAAGATTGGTGGTGAGACAGAGGATCCAGCGAAGGAAAGAAGCAAAACGAAGGAGAAGCATGTTCATCCAGAGTTCGACCAGGAGTTTGATATCAGACAGAACTTTGAAGAATTTAATCTGGACGAATGCAATCTGTCAGATGATCCTGACAGACCAGAGGGCGACGGTTCGGAGAGACTTGGCAATCTTGTCGCTACGGTTAGTCAGAACGAGAAAACTGCCGCAACCAAAGACAATAATAATGTTCCTCTTGCTGCGACTAATTCGAGCAGCGGTTACGATCACTTCCTGGAAGCAACGGGTCTTAGCAATAAATCCATCCTAACGCCTTCGAGGTTGTTGAGTAATCACAAAAGTATGCTGAAACCGAAAGACGTGAAGTATAAGAATAAGATTAAAGCGACCGCGGTGTTGGAGAAGCACGGTGTATCTACGACTAATAATACCACTCATGTCAGACATTGGACTGGGCCGTTTGTCTGACGACTGGCCCATGTTTTGCCAACCAACCTGTTCCGACAAGAAACTCGTGACAAAGAGTGATAATTTTCCAGTATAGTGAGTCTGAAATATATCCGTACTCCTTCGATCACTGGCCAGATTGTTGATGTCATTTTAGGGTAAATGCTATAGGATCCTTATGTATAAAAATATACACTGTTTGAAACTTGAAGAAATTTTATTTTAAATCATTTTTTCAATCTTGTATTTTCCGTGATTCTAAATTACCAAAGTAACTTCATTATTTAATATAATGGTTATTAATCCATGAACATATAAATAACCAAGAAATAATTTGATAATTTTCTTTTTCAAAGGTAATGTTCCATAACATTTTGTTCTAAAAATACATCAATTGTTTGAAATCAGCAATTGAAGCAGAATGCATACTCCTGTAACTAGCTGTAGCTGCTCTTGTGTATTCTTAAAGATCAATGTAAACAAACAAGAATTAATGACTGTGAATATTCAAACTGTGATTTCGACACAGTTCATCGTAAAACACGTTTCGAGTGTAAGATATAATGTAATGTAAATTATTATCGATAATCCCTTTTTAATGTAATGCTTTTTCACATTTTTTGTTTTTTGCAAAAAAAGTGGGAAAACATAGGAATTAATTTATTTATAACAGCTTCAACATAAGGAGTGTTTCGTGTTGTATATTTTAATAAAATATTTCATACATATTTATGGTGTGACTAATGAAAACAATAAATAAAGTATAAATGAAGTCTTAAGTCATAGTAAAGTATCTTAACTTGATTTATCTGCTGTGAGATTGCGAATAAATTTGTTTACCGCGGAAATTAGTATCACTGTTGTGGAAACGGTTTCGTTTTGTTGTTTTTTATTATAGAAAATCGAAACAATTTTATGTTATTGAAACCTATATTTTGTTATGAAAAATGTGCAACAAATAGATAAATCTGTACAAATATTAAATATGTTCTGTTTGAATTACTACTTTTTCTTTCATTAAAAATCATAATCAAATAATAATTTAGAATTTTGTTATAGAAAATATATACTAGACTAGCACAGTTGGGAAAGAACAGCCGTATGTATATGTTTTAATATACATATATATTTGTCAAAAGTCAATTGTAGGATAAACATGCGAATGTACTCATTTTTTTGTTGCAAATAAAATTAAAGATGACTTTATTGAAAAAATCTTAAATTTGATTTAAGAATAGGAGTACGCCAGTACAATGTTAAATATTCTGTAATGATTTATAAACAACTAGAACATATGATACAATTATATATAACTTCTACTACCTATAAAAATACAACGCAACTCTATAAAAATACAACGCTAACTGTCACTGGTATCAAAATCTAAATAGGACATGAAAGAGAGAAAAGTATATCGGAAAATGGACATTATGAAACTCGAACATCTCACCGGTAAATGTAATAAAGGATTCCATTTTCGCGGGTTTAGTAATCACTCGTTCAGGCACTCTATTACACTTGGCTAGTGCTATATTATCAATACAAATGTATAGATATAGCTGTATAATTGCGCGAAGAATCACACAATTGGTTTTGGCACAGTGGTTTCTTCACGTTTCTCTTTCCGCGCGGAAATCATAACAGAACTGGAAGGAAAACAAAAATATGTAAGAATCCTATCATACTAACGTGTTACGAACATTAATCACAGTACTCTATTCTCAACCCCATGAATTTACTTCGAAATATACATATTCGTATATTTATGTGGTCATCGTCAATTCCTAGGTTCTATCACGGATGAGATAGTTACTTAGCTGTTTTTGAAAATCACAGTTCTATATACAAGAAAATTAGAAAGTTAAACTATAAACAAACTTATAGTCATTTACAAAAGTCTGAATTGCAGAAGGAGAATTGACAAGAAAAATTGACCACGACTAGGTACACAGGTCTACAAATATGCAAAATTTGAAGTATATCTTTCGAGGGGGATTTCATCAATTTTGAGTAACATCATTTTTAACTTACCTCCTTGTCCAAGTCTTTCTGAGTCCAGACTTTGATTGTGGGGAGTTTATGCTGTAAACGATGAGATTGTTAAAAATAAACAGAAATCAATGTACAATATTATAGTAAAATTGACTTACAGTAGAGGAATCCGAATGAATATTAAGACGCGGATGAAGAACGAAGGGGACTCCATCCAAATCGGAAGATCCTGGCAGTGTACCATAAATTGATGTGGATCCAACGGCTGATGACGAAGGTGGTTGCGGAGCAGGTCTTGTGGGCCTGATTCTTGCACTAGGACTTAAAATTTCATAATCTCTGTCACTAGATTCGTCTAGCTCCTTCCCCGTATTTCCTCCAATTGGCGGGTAAATTCCATTTGTCGGTTTTGGTGAAAACTTTGGTTTCGGTGGTCTTTCAGGAGGTATTCTATGAGGTGTACCATTTGATGGATTTGGAGATGCATTTTGAAATAAACTACAAATGAAGAATTAGATGTATCGATAGCTACATATGAATAGGGTTTTAATTATTTTTTAAATCAAATTAATACTCACTCTATATTAACATATGATTGCGAACTGGAATTCCCATTTACAATATCCACGGTTTTGTAGCAAACGCAAACTCCATTTATGACACTGAAAAGGGGCATGTTTGGTTTAAATATGGATGACAAATAAATTAGCAATGATAAACTTTTTGTTAGACTTTCCAGAGCAATTACAAACATATCTTTTTCTCAACAATTCGACCTTCATTTTTAAGTCCTCTTTAGGAAACTAATATTTTTTTAATAGTATTAACGTTATGAAAATTCTTTCAAAATTACAACTAATTTAACGTGAACATATTATTAGTGAAAATATTACAATTGCTATTATTAAAAAATTTTAATTTCCCGACGAGTATCTAAAGACGAAGATTGATGATATTAATAATAAACGAAATATATATACTCAATTTTAAAGTAAGTTCATAAATAATTACACATACCCAGCTGCGACAAAACCGTTAGGAGCCATTTTAGATGTATACACTTTGTGCGCAATCCTACTACATATAATAATGTCTGTAACTGCTTTCAAGCATAATTCCTTATTTCTAACTTTATAGCACAACTGTTTCTTCCTCCATGCCTTCTGCACTAAAATTCGTTATCGCAATGTACTAAACGAAAATGGTTTTCTGCTAAACAATATTCTGATCAGTCTTACGTATGCTCACTTGAATCTACAGTATAAGAAATCATGCTGTATCCTTCTGGCGGAGCATCTCGTTCGTTAATGACTGCTAGATCTTCGACCACACAATGAGGTAACCCTTCAGTCTTTGAAAAACATATGTATCTGGCTCTTTTTTTAATGAACAGTCCAGTTTCTCTCCCTAAATCGGCATCAGTATCTTGATCGTATGTTCTTGAAATCTACAGGAATTATAAAATAATGAAAATGACTATAATACATGCCACAATGTATTAAAATTAAGATTTATAAAATCATCTATTGTAACTTATTAGACTGTGGATTTTATGTACAATGAAATACTATATTATATTATAGTAGCTTCTTATTTTGATTTTATTATAATAGTTTATTTTTTTAAAGTAAAAAAATGTCTACATGCCAACAAAATATTATCAAAATATAACAAATTATTTTTTAGGTACAATGGAGTAAACATTTAGACAGATGAATAAACAAAAATTCTGAATATATATTGTTAGCCTTAAACAAATCAAAACTATCAACAATTTTGAGAAAAATCATACAGGCACCATAAATAAATACATACAAATTACAGTCTATTTATTACAATAAAAAACATTTACAAACATGAAATAAAATGTATTAATTGCAAAAATTATTAATCTTACCACTGTAAAATTTGGCGGACACTTATCTATATCTTCAACAACACTTATGGCTGTGATTGGCCTATCATCAGGTAACACTGATGATAATTGATGAACCAACATTTTGTTGCAATTAGTCTTCTTAGACATTGCTGTAACCCTGTTATAAGGATACACTGGTATCATTATTCCAAATTTTGTATTGGATCAAATTTTTAATATACTCTAACACAACTGTAATGTAATTAAAGACAATAACTTAAAGTTGCTGCTACAATTATCATTTCGAAGATAAGATGCTTTCTGTTAAAAGTGATTACAATAGATAAATTTTGTTCAATGTACAATATATAGCTGATAAGTGGCAACTAATATCATAAAATCAAGGAAGAACCTCATTCAGCAATTTATTCCAATTCAGCATTTATTGCAATGTGAATTATGAAAGTCGTTGCAAAGAAAATACTTGTTCCTCCAATCTTCTCTATTGTATCCCAATGATCTAATTTTCTATTGATAAAATAATTTGATATATTGGAAATTATTCCTTTTACGAATTGTTCTTCTCTTATTAAATAAATTCGTTTTCAAAGCATGACAAGAATAACTTAAATAAAGTAATTGTTTGATCTACAAAGTGTTATAAAATCCAACAAAGAACATACGTTATTATTTGCTTAACACTTTACCTATCGGAAGCCTATTTGTATATTTCTGATTTGCAGTGTCAATTAATTGTGTTCTGGTTATAAACTCATGAATATTTCCAACTTCCTTACCTTCACGATCACTGTACAATGAGAATTTTATAAGCACTGCATATTTGCTCCCTGTGTTTATCGTCGCACTTCTAATTATCTGTCAAATAGTACCAATGGAATAATACGTCAATTTTCGATTGGATCGCAATCGACTTGTATGTTTCTCTCCACTCAATCTTATCCATTCGAAGACTCATTCGGAATAGAGTGAAGGTACTCTCTACTCTTAATACTTATGAATAAACAGATAGAAGGGAAAGAAACGACGAACGAAGAGAGAAAGAGGACAAAGAGATTGTAAGAGAGAGAAACCTAGTACCCAGAAGAAGAGGAGAGTTTATACAGGGTGTCTCTTGCTTTCTCAGAATATCGTGTAAATCGAAAAAAAAACAAAATACTTATAATTTTGTCAGATATTTAATTAAATTTATTTATTTCGGCGTATACAAAATTAAAAAAGCAAATAAAGAACAAGGAATATCGATGCACCCATAAAATGACAAATATAAAAAAAAGTATAAAAGTATAAAAATAAAAAATAAAAACAAAAATAAAATTAAAAAAGTAAAAGTGAAAATGCGTAAAAAAAACGTACCGTTTCAATTAGGAAATCGGTGAACCGAATAAAAAATTCTTCCGTTAATTGATCTTATCGTTAAATACATTAATCTATTCACTAATCAAGATATCATATGAAGAGACAACAAAATCACACAATCCTTAATCGGCTGATATCTAATTGAAAGTGTGTTGAATCTGATATGTTTCTTTCTATTAATTTCGAAGTTTTCGACGTTTAAGTTACTTTTCGCATCAGTCTCTCGAAATAAGAGATATCGAGAAATATTTGTAAGAATAAATTAATGTCTTGCAAGTTGTTTCTAGAACTGCCATTGTTATTTCATAACTATTTATGAACTGTATCATACAATAGATATTAATATTTGTTTATGTATTTATGCTGATTTGTAATTTACGCTTCGTAAATAAATATTTTCCGATCGGTAAAAAAAAAAAACGCTCCCCATTCATATAAAGATGCCTAGGAACTGAATACTTTGAGTTTTTTGTAATTACTGTAATTATTTTTCGTTATATTAAATTTTCTTAAACACATTACAATAAATTTCTAGATCAATAGATACTTGTTCATGCTGTTACTATTATGTCTTTAATAAATCTCCGAGTAAAGCTTTCGCGTAAAAAATGACATTTAGTATGCTTAACTAGATCACACAATAAAAATTATAGATAAACAACACTTGTTGTCTCAAAAGAACTATTCGCAAATAGTTCTATCTAAAATTATTAAAGGGATGCCAGAACAAAGATGGGTAACATTTTATTCGAATGGTAAACACATAAATCGATTTATTCTCAACGGTAAGTTGGCTAAATAATTAAATCTTCATTCATTAATTGTTGTAATATTACAATTAATGTTTCAAATTTTAATATTTATTTCTCATGTAACAGATCATAAGATATTTATTTGCGCCCGATTTTGTGAAATTTGATATCTGTCCAAGAATTTTTCCCATTATCTCCATGCTATAATTACACGCAGACGTTATTCGAAATCGGATATATTATATAAGCAATTCTGTAAGCCGCAAAATGTAGGGAAATAATTTTGACGCTATCTTCGATAGTTTCGGAGAAAACCGCCTCGGCAACACTTCGCGCGAGACACCCTGTATACACAGAATTATCAATTGTTCGCTACTGTAAACAGTTTAATATCGACTCGTTCCTGAAACGATACTAGACACGAAACCGACAAGACGACTATTGTTCTCACAGCCACCGTTATTCACGAAAATTCGTTTTCTTCTGCTGGTTCCTTGTTAAAGCGTTTTAACTAAATTGATATCAATGACATCACTTGTGTACACATATATATATATATACCCCCACCACACGCAAACATAATGACTACCATCTTAACTGACTAGGGTAGTGTGTTCAATAAGCTAACCTCTGTTTCCGTTCCTTTCACGCCGTAGAAACTTTACGGCGGTTTTCTTCGTCGTTCCTGCACAATTCGCTTCTGTCAGATGTTCACTTGATCGTAAACGTCGCGCTCGCGTTTAATCCAAAGTTAATCCGACGTTTTCCAGGCGATAAGAATGTGAACGAGAATTGTACGCCACCCCTTCATTAGCATTCTTACTGAAAGGCGTATTTATAAAAGATTTTTAACACAATTTGAACGTACAAAGTCGTAACACTTTCCCCAACCGTGGCCATGACACTAGGGTTTGATCCTGAAACGAAAGAAACAGCATGGCGCCTTGTTTATATTTTCTCTACTTTTTATAGGAATCAATCGTAAATTAAATCAGCTTTCGAGAGTCGTGAACATATTTATATTCGAAGATTCTTTTCTCTTTGTAAATACAATGTTAGTGGATATATATAATTTCTTTATGTTCAAAGAGGGAATATTGTAGAGGGCACTACGTATTGTTTCGAACGCCCGTTACGATGGAGTGGTGCCAGACTTGGCTACCAGTCGCGCATGCGCACTGGTTTTACCGTCAGTAAAGTATCTGACATGACCATAAAACTGGCGCCCTTAGTCGCCCCAAAGAAAAATAGAATTATAAATGAAAATTGGAAGTACTTCTTAGCATGCAATAACATTAATTGTGTGGATAAATGATAACATAGGGATGGAAGTTGAAATAATTTTACAGACGAAAGACATTTTTTATAATTAAGAAAACGATTTTCCTGGTTTTGGCGTCAGCTGTTGCTATGGGATCATAGTTATCATTCGTTGTTTTCTATAACTACAGCACTGCAGGCTCAGGTTTTTGCGACGCGCATGTTACGATGATGAGTTCTTGTTATTCGAACCTGGCATCCAGTGGCGACGGAGGTTGGTGTAGGTATGTTTTAAGAATTCCACGTGTAAAATAACAGTGTTTTAAAAACTTGTTATTGCATATCATACTACTCACAGGTAACATACCCAGATATACTATATAAATACAGCCAATGTATTAACCTATTATCACTTTGGTTGATACAGTATTTAATAATATACGTAATACGTATTAGAAAATTATAAACGTCTTTGTACATATTGTATGCAGTAAATTACTTACAAAATTTATACAATATATTTTCTTTTCTTTCTTTTTTTTTTATTGGCGACTATTTAGTTTAAGTCTTTGTTTCGATATAACCTATATTTTGGAATATTTGTTGTTTTCGAAATACTTTGTGTTTCTAATGTTATTAAAGTTGCGTCTGCCTCCTGTTGCATTCATAACGCAAATAATTAAGAGTTAGATATGTTGGTTTTGACAAAAATTACAGTTATGATACAGAGTATTGCAGATTAAACTGTGGGTATGATACAGAGTATTGCAAATTAGGATATAAGGTTGACACAAAGTATTGCAAGTTAAGATATGGGTATGGTATAGAGTATTGCAAATTAAACTATAGGTATAATAAAGGGTATTGCAAATTAAACTGTGGGTATGATACAGAGTATTGCAAATTAGTATATAAGGTTGACACAAAGTATTGGAAGTTACGATATGGGTATGGTATAGAGTATTGCAAATTAAACTATGGATATGATATAAAGTAATGCAACTTACAATACACGTATAGTGAAAAATATTGAAAATTATAGTATAGGTATGCTACAGAGTATTGCAAATTAAAATATGGATATGATACAAAGTATTGCAAATTAAAATATGGATATATGATACAGAGTATTGC